ATTTATTTATTTATTTATTTATTTATTTATTTATTTAAATATAAACAGGGTAGCATTACCTTGGATCTAAGTGATATCCACAAGTATTTATTGACTTGAATTAGTGGCTGATCAGTAGCATTTGTGTTTGCATTAGATTTGGGGACCCTGTATATTCAGATGCGAGTTCTGTGGGGGGTTTGAGTTCTCCTGTTCCTTTGTGAACCAAAGCAAATTCAAATTTCATTTCTTGGGCCTTCTCTTTGTGTTTTGGATTATAGACTTATAAGAGCATAAAATATTATGCTTATATTATATGCCTTATAATGGATGGTTACCACTGAGAATGGTGTATGATGTTTATTAAATACTATCACACAAAACATGAAAAACAGTCCTCTTAGGTATGAACTCAGGTCCTGTTTTTTCCCTTAGTGCACTTGTTTTTACTTTATAGAATAATGATATCAGTGATATGAAAACCTATTCTTTTAAAAGTTAATTTTTTGTTTGCATATATATTTATGTTTTCTGCTTTTGCAGTTGCAGTTTGCCTGTATTATCAGAAATGAAGCAAATGTTTATTGTCCTGGGCATGCTCCTAATTTACATAAGAATTTTGGCATCAAATGAAGGACTTAATAACTTTTGAGTTTAACTCCTTAGATGAAGAAGCAATTAGAAGAGTGATGAGTCCTTAGATATTAAATAATCTTCAGAATATTAAACTTTTTTTCTCTTATAGTGAGAGATTTTTCTTGAGGCTGAATAGAAATGGACTTCCCAAAGCCCCAGATAAACCAGAACGACATTGCTCTCTCTTTGTGGTAGGTGGATCTTGTTTCATCTAGGAAGCAGATTCTTGCATTTGTGCTATGTTACTTAAGGGAAATGAATTATTGTGAGAGAAAATAGTGACTCTGCCTAAACTTTGTAAATAACACATAAAGTACATTCATGCTAGGAATTCTTAACACCACCATTGATAGACACACCTCTCTGTTCCTTTGGTGCATGTTAGAGCCTGTTAGATTCAGCGTGGCATATGGTATTTAGAATATACTTAGTAAATGTTTAAAGAATGAGTGAGTGAGAGATTAAAATAAGAATGGACTTTTTAAAAAAGCTATTATTTGACATCAGTAGACTTACAGTGTAAAGTTCATTGTAGTGGTATTTTTACTTATTTTTTTTTAAGTTTTTACTTAAATTCCAGTTGGTTAACATACAATGCAATATTAGTTTCAGGTGTACAATGTAGTGATTCAACACTTCCATAAAACACCCAGTGCTCATCACAACGAGTGCACAACTAATCCCCATCATTTCTTTCACCCATTCCTCACCCACCTCCCTTCTGGTAACTATCTGTTTGTTCTCTTTAGTTAAAGAGTTTCTTTCTTGGTTTGCCTCTCTTTTTTTTCTCCTTTGCTCATTTGTTTTGTTTCTTAAATTCCACATATGAGTGAAATCCTATGGTATTTGTCTTTCTCTGACTTATTTTACTTAGCATTATACTCTCTAGCTCCATCCATGTCCTTGCAAATGGCAAGATTTCATTCTTTTTTATAGCTGAGTAATACTCCATTGTATATATACCATATCTTCTTTATCCATTCATCTGTTGATGGACACTTGGGCTGTTTTCATAACTTGGCTATTGTAGAATGAGCTTTTTTTTTTTTTAAGCATTATTTGACATCAATAGACTTACAATGTCAAGGTGATTGTAGTGGTAGTTTTACAATGGCATTTGAATTATATGCTTCTGCAAAATTCCATTAAGAATGTTGACATTATCTTGGTCTTTCTTCTGTTATTGGTGAAAATAATGTGCTATTACCTTTAAGTGCTTTTGCATAAATTATGATTTTTAAAATAATCACACTTTTTTTTTTCTTTTGGTAGGATTTGGGTAGCAGTGAACTAAGAAGGGACATCTATATCACTGTGCACATTATCCGAATTGGTAAGTCCAACACTTGTCAGTGTGATAGGGACACAGCAGCGGCAAGAAATGCTGAACAGTCTCTGTGGTGATGTGATTTCTTTGCTATCTGGATGAGAAAGAAGAGAAAGCCAGTTTGGAATCCAAGAACCACCAAATTTGGGACTTGTTCCCTTGCCTCCCCAAACTCACATACAGCCTCTTCATGCATCATAAATAGATTTTGTTCTCTTTCCATAGAAGTCATTAGGTCGTCGTCGTGCTTCATTTTGTTTTATTGGACTCCCTAAACATATTTGATTCAAAATTTGGTGTTTGTCTTTTTAGATTCTAATTCCTGTTAACAGCATAAATTGAACTTTTTGGATCTGGATTTCCTACAAGTTTATGAAGATTTTATACTAATTGGCATTTTCAAAAGTGTAGAATGCCACAGAGCATTATTGCAGAAAGTGCTACAAGAAAAGGGTTATGAAATACTGAATGCTGTATATTTTTTCCACTTGTGTAATATCATCAGCTCATAAAAGGGTCTGAGAAGCCCTACAGGGAAAAATTGAAATGCCTCTCTAACTTGGTTGGCCCAAGATTTCTCCATATTTGATTTGACTGTGGAAACATTTATATAATGTAACATTTACTAACATCTTGCAGAGCCCACTTTGGGTGTTCTACACTGAACTTGCACAACAGACCCAGAATATTTTTGCTCGTTTTTACTCATAAAATGTCTCTGAAAGCAGGTATTTTATGGCAGAGGAACTAGGTAAAACAAGGCATTGTGAAGCCTACACAGTGTTTCTTTAAAAGCCAACCAGCTGATACTGGGAATTGGTTCCCACTTCTTCCCTAACTCTGGTATATTATCTGCTCGGGAATGCTGCTGCAGGATAATAATACATCACTGTGCAATCCTGCATAGTGATCTTCATTTTTATAGTCTTTTATCTTATGAATATGATAACCACATTGTACATTGAGAGAGACTATAAAACATGTTGCCGTTCCAACATAGATTTTCTTTATATTTTTCTCATAAAAATGAGTTCTGGAAACCCATTTTCATTTTATGCTATTTTTTTTTTTCTTTTTAATTTGAGGGGCAGTTGAAACAAAAAGAAAGAAAACTGTTTTTGGTTTTAATTTTCTTTCTATAAGTGAGTATATGGGGGGGGGGAGGAATTGTAAAGAATCTCTTTTAAATGTTGGAAAAATTGGAATGCATGCTGCAGTGGATTTATGAGATCAAGCTTTTGTGTGTGCCCAGGATGGCAGGGGTGCAGTCTTTGCAGTCTATTAGGTAATTTTTCGTGTGTGTGTGTGTGTGTGTGTGTGTGTGTGTGTGTGTGTGTGTGTGTTTCAGATGCGTCATGCCAGTTATTAATGTAAAATGTGGTTTTGGATATTTTCATAGAAACATTGCATTGGAGTATAACTCTCTACAGTATTGAGAGAAACCGTAAACTCATTTTGCTTTCCAAACTTTTTAAAAGTTATCTACAGGTTGTTGGTGGTAGAAACACATGTGGCAGATGGACTCCAGGTCCTACTTGCCTGTGGCCTGGGTGGCTCTGCTGCTGAGGGAGCCACTTCTGTCGTACCGGTGACACGGCTGTCTTTTGAACACAGGGTGTTGGATCAGTGATTGCATGTTTTACTAAGATTTTTTTATGATCGTTAAGTCGTCAGAATGAATGTTGAATGAGAAACTACCTGCACCCCTTGCCCCCGCCCTGAGCTTTGGCCAAATTAATGCTTCACTGAGATTCCTGCATAAACTGCCTGATGGTTGGGCACATTTACTAGTGTGACATCTTGAGACCGAGAAGGAATAATAAAGGTAAGAAACACTGCGAAAGGGCGAGACTTCATCTGCTGCAGTGAAATTGAAGAGTGGAGGATTCTGGTCTGTCAGGGAGAAATACTTCTTACTTTTTCTAGAATGTCCCTCGTACCTGCTTTAGTAAGAACAGGGCACGCTGACCGTCACTGGCTGCAGAGAACAAGAGCGATAGCACCTCGCCTCGGAATTTAAGCCCAGATCTTTGGTTAGAAGAGGAGGAAAAAAGAGAGAAATAAATAGCTTTAGATCCTCCTGCTGTCCATCCCGCTTAAGGTTTTTCCATCGCCGTGTTTCTCCTTTTGGCTTTTAGCTGGTTCCCAAAACTGTTTACTAAATATTGCTAAATATTTTTACCTTCCCCACGCCTGCCTGCCTTTCTGCCTAGAGAATTTTCCTATAAATCTGACCGGAACTGTGAACTTTGATTAATTCTAGAGTTGGAATCACCAGGGCTGGCATCAAGTAGCGTTTTTGGTGCAGGACTGAGAGAAAAGTTTTAGTATCCAGAGCTGTGGTGCCTGCAGAGCCAGAAAAGACAACTTGAAATTGAGTGTCTGAGGACATGAGTGATGTAGAGGCTCAGCAGTGAGGGTGTAAGGCAGTCAGAGAAAGTGGCCCAAACCTCACCGTGGCTCCTCAGGTGGTGAGAGAGCACTTCCTGCATCCCCCCTTACTTGGCTGTCCTCACCAGGCACCCACAGATTTTTCTTTTGTGCAGTTCTAGCCACAGTGGGTCAGAAAATTGGGGCGATATGCCTACCCTGCATCAACTTCTAGGAATTTACAGCTGGAGGAGTCTGTGTGGGAATAATCATGTTGAGAGTTTCAGGGGTTTTGTTGTTGTTTGTTACCACTAAACCCCTTGTGTGATGTTAAGTAACTTTGAAACACTCCACCCAGAAATCTTATAATCCCTGTGTCGGCTTGTGTTAACAAAGGGAATGATTGAGTAAGAAAAGAATTTGTAAATCATGATACCGGTAAAGATGGGAGTATATATTTTATCCTAATCTAATCTGTAATAATATTCAAAATAGAGGTAAACTAGACTTTTTTTTTTTCCCATTTAACAAGTGAACAGAGCTTTAAATTTATTTGCCAGTTTTGTAAGTAAAAGTATGACTTGTTGATAAATTCAAATAGGACCTTATAAAGTGTTTGGTTTATCAGTGTAATTTATATGAAAATGTGGGTTGAAATTTAGCTACGTATTACAGCATCAGATCATGAAAACACGATTCTTTGAATTTTGCACATATAAAAAGCAACTTATTTTGACCATGTTGTAGTTTTTCCATGCTATTTGTAAGCATTTCCCTAAAAATGATGCATTGCTAAGGTAGTTTTACTTTATTACTAGTGAATGGAAGCCAAGTTGGATATCCCTCCCCTCCTTTTTTTTTTTTTTTTTTTTTTTTTTTTACTTTTAACATTGGAGTTGGGAAGTGTTGGAGTCCTCTAGATGTCCTGTGGGAGAATTTTGCTCAGATGGAAAACAACTTATATATCTGTTGCCAAACATCTGGAAACAGATTTGCATATTTTTTTTTATTATTTTCCCTCACATTAACTTGTTATATTTCAGCTTCAGTATACTTTCTGCTTTCTGTCCTCAGACTAATCCACTGGCAAATTAAATACAATAACAAATTAAAGCAGTATCTCAATAATATACTTAAAAATACATAACAATTTAAACAAGTTGCAACTGTGTTGGAGTGACAGCCATCCTGGGAGATTGCAGCCATTGGCTGAATTCTAATCAGCCTGAGCCCTGGGTCAGGAAAAGACATGCATGTTCTTTTGATCATCCGTGCTTCCTTGTTATATCTTCAGGGTATCTAAACTGCTTCCTTTCAAAGGTGAAATATTTAAAATAGCTCTTTAAACGTGGACCTTTTTAAAAATTTTCTCTTAGATGGAATGGACACCATTATTGCATTTATTGACCTGGACTTCCTGGGTCGCCTAAACAAATCCTCAGGGGGAGGGTTCCCAAACATGGGACCAACTCCAGTCTTCATGTTTCAAAGATGACAGTTGGTGCCCAGAGTTACAGCTATGAGCCCGAGGTCACACAGTGAGGTGCTTGGCAGGGAGAGTCACGAACTGAAGCAACATCCTCTGTGTCCTTTTAGTTGCCCGGTTGTGTTTTATCTGGCTGATGTATCTATTTAAGATGCACCAGTCAAATGGCTCCATGGGCTGTGTTTGCTTTTCAATTGAACAGGTCGAATGGGGGCAGGAGAAAAAAAGAATGCCTGTAGCGTCCAGTACCGGCGACCCTTTGGCTGTGCGGTCCTTAGTATTGCCGACCTGCTGACAGGAGAGACGAAAGATGACCTCATCCTGAAAGTGTACATGTAAGAAGCATGAACGCATCGGGGCCTGGGGCGGGTGCAGAGGCACATGTGGCTCTTGTGGGGCAGATGCTACTCCATTTCCTTAATGGAGGGGCAAGGGATGGGTTGAGTTTAGGAGCCACTCCTCGAAAACAGTCTGTAAACTCGCTACAAGTGAGCCCACAAATCACCATTCACCAGTCAGAGGAATCACGAAATCAAGACTCCAAGAACCCAGATAGATTATCAACTGGGGAGACCATCTACTTCACAGAGCACCTCCTGTGAATTTAAAAACCTGACCAGTCCTTACCCTCAGAGTGTTAGTTTGTTCTTGGAAAATGGACATAGTTTTTAACATAAACTCATTAGAATTGGGAACAGAAAGCTCAGGTAGATGATTTCTCTTTCACATAGTATTAGTTTGCTAGGTCTGCCCAACAAAGTACCGTGAAGACCGAGGCTTAAACAGCAGAAGTTTTTTGTCTCACAGTTCTGGAGGCTGCAAGTCCTAGATCAAGGTGTTGGCAGGGTTGATAACTTCTGAGGGCTAGGAGGGACAAATCTATTCCATGCCTCTCTCTCTTACTTTCTGGTGGCTGCTGGCAGGTTTTGGTGTTCGGTGATGTGTAGCTGTACTGCCCAATCACTGCCTTCCATCTCTGTGTCCACATTTCCCCTTTTTATAAGGATGTACTTACATTGGGTTGGGTCCTACCTAGTGACCTAATTTTAACTTGATTACCTGTATAAACTCCCTATTTCCAAATAAGATCACATTCGGAGGGCTTAGGACATCAATATTCTTGTGTTCAACTCACAGCACTCCACTAAGAAAATCACTTAATGTATCCCAAATCCTAAGTTAGTTGATTTTTTTTTTTAATGCACATGGTTTCAGATCACCCCACCCTGAGCATCTCCCCGCACTTTTAGAAATTGAGAGTTGATCTACAGGGATGTCCTCACCCCCCGGGGGTGGGGGTAGGTAGGGCAGTGAGCTTGGGGTTTCCTCATTCCTGGTTTGAGGACCAAACTGCTGGCCATATCCATGAATGATTGTGCTTCAGTTTCCGTTCTATCTGTGGAGTTGATATACCCAATGTATGCCAGTAGTTTTCGTAGGTTAATACAAGTGGCCGACTGCCTGTGGGATATAGACTTCAAATTGCTTTTTGACGGCTGCTGGAGGGTTTCATGGATTTATCTGTTCTCCACCCAGTGCCCCCAGGACCTATGCTACACATTTGCTAATTAGTTGAGAAAGATTTGTCTGTAGCCTGTGGTTTAGGACCAGAAACTCTGTCTCTTTAAAGAAGGATAAAACATGTGACCTTGATTTTAAACTTGAAAACTTTGGGTGAAACAAGTGGTAGTAAAGCTCACTACTCTTTTTATCACGTGGCAGCCCTCAATTTTGGCAGCTGGGATTAAATCCTTGATACTTTGAATCTTTGATACCTATGAATCTTTTCCCAAACCCTCCTGGGGATCATACAATACACTGTATTTGAAATAATTCTAATGCTAATGACCACTATTTACTGTGTGCTTACTATGTGCAGGGAACTGTGTTAAGTGTTTTCCATGTATCCCGTCATGTTATCCTGATGACATACCCGTGAAGCAGATGCTTTGGCTCTGTGTTCCACATAAGGGGACAGAGAGGCTAGATAATGCCCAAAGTCACCAGGCTCATGAGAGTGGGATCCAGATTTGAAATCAGGACTGTCTGACTCCAGAACTTGAGCTGTCACGTACCGAGCCCTATGCTTTCGGGTGTTATTTCACACCACTGTCTAGTAATGTGATAATGATGCTATTGTGTGGCATCGCTTTTTAAGAAAATAAAATTCTCACAATCACAGTCTCATCATTTCTGAGCAGTCTTTCCAGGTGTGGGTAGCAAGCACTATATTTATCTTGCCATTGAGAACGCTGGGGACCGACAGTTGGATGCATCAGCCTTGATTATGCAACTAGCTGAAGAAGACCCAGGCGTTCCAACTCTGCCTATGAGAGATGCTCACTCTCATAAAAATAAATTGTATTGCTTTTTGTGGTTGTTATTGTCTGTGTTTTTATAAGCATCAAATAAGGTTTTAGGTTATTCTTGCTGGTAGAGAGATCCCCTTAAAAATGCCACGTCAGCAAATTATGAATCTGTTGCAGGAGGAATGCTAGCCAATCAAAACACTCACTGTAGATTAAGAAGAAAGTGTGATTATAGTAAAACATTTTTAAGGAAGTGCCTGTTAGAAATAATTTGGAAGAAATCTCTATTTGTTAATGTGACTGAATCCCTAACCCATCTGGGACTTAAATATAGAAGAGTAACAAATACCTCATCTGAGCCTGGAAGATATTTCAGTCACATACTTGAGCTTTGATTTTACTTGGAGTTTTGTAGGTGAAAAGCATGAATTCTGGAGTCACTTAACTAATAGGAAGCAAGCCATCTTTCTTCCTTCCACACTGACCTGAAATAAGAAAACTAGAGACAGGATCTACTCAATGGCAATTTGATGTCTTACAGCTGGACAGGTGGAATGGTTTCATTTCATCTTAATTTCCCAGCCTTCTAAGATTCATTGTTCTATTTGGTACCCTATTGTTAAGTGGCTTGAAAATGACCTCTGTCATGTTCATCCTGGAAAAGCCTATGGGGATAAATTAAATAAATATGTAAGCAAATTGTGAGTGTCAGCTACAGACAAAGATCACAAGGAATATAAATCTGTGGAACATTTTGATTGATAGTGTATAGAAGTTTGATATTCAGGACCCTTGGGAGGGAGCATTTGTGGCTATCAAATAAAATAGTAGTGATTTCTAAGCATATTCAGATGAGGGAGGCTGTCCCCAGCCTAATGGCAGTAAGAAGGGGTAACCAACCTTGACATTTAGGAATCATGAGAAGTTGCCAGTCAGAGGGCCATCCATCCATTCACTGATGCAGCTCATGCTCTTTAAGCACCCACGGTGTTCAGAGTCCTGAGGGGACACACATTTACAGGATCTATTCCTCAAGAACCTTCAAAGTTTTCTAGGTGAGCTACAGCATGCGAACGAATAGGACATAAACTAGGAAGTGACAAGAGCTGAAAGAGCAAGGTAGAGATGGCTGTGAAAGTAAGAAGATGGAACGATGCCTATTAGCCCAGAAGAAGAAAAGCTGGGGGACTTTAATTACCCTTCCGTGCAAGGGTATTTTTAATCACCCCAGTGCAACTTGTGTTAACCTCAGTTGCATTTTGCTTGATTTGTTGCACTTTGATGCTAGCCAAATTTAGTTATGTTACAGTGGGTGGAAACTCACTAATGAGAACTAACAGTCATTGAGCATTTACTATATGCCAGGCATTATCCTAAGCCCAAGCTTATTCAATTGTTGTATGTTGCCCCCATTTCACAGATGAAGAAATCTAGGCACAGGGAGGGTAAATAACTTGCCCAAAGACATAACTCAGTTAATAGTGAGGGTTTGAATCTTAGTCTGCCCTGCCTTCCACTGTGTACATTGTTCCTGAGATTTTGTGGTGAGAGGGACTGTCATCATTTGTGAGTTTATAACAGCCACTTCTGGCTTAAAGTAGGTGGTCACGCATTTACCAGATACGGGCACCCTGCTCATCATGGGGCAATTATGCTAAAACTGACTGGTTGTTGGGAACTCCCCAGGAGATTTAAGGAAGTTCATTATGGTGGTCATTCCAAAAAGAGCAGGGGTACTGTTAAGATCTTTGTTTGATCTCATCCATCATCCAAGCTTAACAGAGTGTTAATGTTTTCATAGGTGTAACACAGAGAGCGAGTGGTACCAAATCCACGAGAACATCATCAAAAAGCTGAACGCACGTTACAATTTGACAGGCTCCAACGCAGGTGAGTGTGGGGGGCTGGCTGACTCTACCTACACTTTTCATTTCAGGCCTTTTATTTTATTTATCTTTGTAAGAAGGAAGCAAACTGCCTTTTGTTTATGTCTGCATTCACTTCGTAACTTTAAAAAATGTCCAGTCAACAATCTCGTATGTCTCCCTGTGCTTTGATAGGCTTGTAGCTATAACTCTCTTTAAAAAGTGTATCCAGTTCTGGTTTGAAACAAAGCAGAGTACCTGAATTTGTTTAAAAATACTAAGTCTTGGGGGGCGCCTGGGTGGCGCAGTCGGTTGAGCGTCCGACTTCAGCCAGGTCACGATCTCGCGGTCCGTGAGTTCGAGCCCCACGTCAGGCTCTGGGCTGATGGCTCAGAGCCTGGAGCCTGTTTCCGATTCTGTGTCTCCCTCTCTCTCTGCCCCTCCCCCGTTCATGCTCTGTCTCTCTCTGTCCCAAAAATAAATAAACGGAAAAAAAAAAAATTTAAAAATACTAAGTCTTGAGGCGTCTTAGTTGTTACCAGTTATTAAAAACCAAATGACAGATAGGGTTGGGTTCCTGACTGTTGTGTGGAATAGGTTTGATGGATGGAAATTGGTCAGTAAGGTCCAAGAAAAACATGCTTCACTGCCTATAGCTGGGAGCATCATTATCCACTGGAGAATAAATATTCAGGTTCATGCACTGAAATTGAATAAGAGGGTAAATGAAACTGCAGTGGCATATGCAGAACAATGTATGCATGCTTATTAAGGGAACTGAAATATATAGCATTGCAAGTTGTGTATAATATGTGGTACATAGTCTTATCCTAATAAATTCATAGAGTATATTACATAGCATATAGTGACATCTTTAAGTTTGCTCAGTGGACAAAAACTTGGTGAACGTTCTTTGTTCCCTGTCCCCGCTTCAAACCATGTGGCAACAAAATAAAGTACGTAGCTATATGCTTTCAGTGATGTCAAAAAACTTCAAATTAGGTAATCTATTATTTGAACTGAATGCATTGTTTTTAAGACTGGCTTTTAAAGTAATTGGGATATAGATATTTATGTTCTAGTCCAACTTGCCTGGTAATATAGAAGATCACAGTCTAAACTCAGACCACCTTTTCTCAGACCTGTGCACATCTTGTTAGGCCAAACTGACCCACAAAGAAAAAGTAACTGCAGACAGAAACTTTCTGGTTCAGGGACAGCCCTAAGGTGTTCACAAGTCACACCTATGGAGCATTCAGGCTGTAGTGAGTGGTGAGGTCAGTTTTCCCCTCCTTTTCCCAAGAGTTGGGGAGGTAACTTGGGTTTTATCTCATTCACATAATGTCATACATCGACCACTAAATAAACAATAGACCTGGAGCCCATGAGGGCAGAGTCCCTAAAGGATCAGGAGGAGATAGTAGAATATATCATGAAGTTCTATACTTCAGAAACTGGTATGTATACTTGTCTTCACTTTTTCTGTGACCAGTTGTGTATGGACCAAATGATTTAATTTAAATGTACCTCACAACGAACAATCCTAAAATTTGTACGGAACCTCAAAAGACCCTGAATAGCCAAAGTAATGCTGAAAAAGAAAAGCAAAGCTAGAGGCATCACAGTCCCAGACTTCAAGCTACAATACAAAGCTGTAGTCATCAAGACATTATGGTACTGGCACAAAAGCAGACACATAAATCAATGGAATGGAAGAGAAAACCAAGAAATAGACCCCAACTCTATGGTCAGTGAAATCTTTGATATAGCAGGAAAGAATATCCAATGGAAAAAGATAGTCTCTTCAACAAATGGTGTTGGGAAAACTGGAAAGCAACATGCAGAAGAATGAAACTGAACCACTCTCTGATGCCATACACAAATATAAATTGAAAACGGATGAAAGACCTAAATATGAGACAGGAAACTATCAAAATCCTAGAGGAGGACACAGACAGCAAGCTCTGTGACCTCTGCTGGAGTAATGTCTTACTAGACACATCTCCAGAGGCAAGGGAAACAAAAGCAAAAATGAACTATTGGGACCTCACCAAGATAGACAAGCTTCTACACAGTAAAGGAAATAATCAACAAACCTAAAAGGCAGATGGGAGAAGATATTTGCAACTCTGATACCTGATAAAGTGTTGGTATCCAAAATCTATAAAGAACTTATACTAAACACCTAAAAAACAAATAATCCAATGAAATGGGCAGAAGACATGAATAGACATTTTTCCAAAGAAGACATCCAGATCCCTAACAGACACATGAAGAGATGCTCAGCATCAAACATCATCAGGGAAATAAAATCAAAACCACAATGAGATACCACCTCACACCTGTCAGAACAGCTAAAATTAATAACACAGGGAACAACAAGTGTTGGCAAGGATGCAGAGAAAGAGGAATCCCCTTACACTTTTGGTGCGAATGCAGACTGGTGCAGCCACTCTGGAAAACAATATGTAGGTTCCTCAAAAAGTTAAAAATAAAACTACCCTATGACCCAGAAATTGCATTGCTAGGAATATACCAAAAGATACAAAAATGCAGTTTTGAAGGAGTACATGTACCTGATATTTATAGCAGTATTATCAATAATAACTGAACTATGGAAAGAGCCCAAGTATCCATCAACTGGTGAATGGATAAAGAAGATGTGAAGTGTGTGTATGTATCGTGTGTGTCACACACACACACACACACACACACACACACACACACACACATATATATATATATATATAATGGGATATTATATATATTGGGACATATAATGGGATATTACTCAGCCATCAAAAAGAATGAAATCTTGCCATTTACAAGAACATGAATGGAACTAGAGTGTATTATGCTAAGCAACACATATCAGTCAAAGACAAATACCATATTTCATTATTGTGTGGAATTTAATAAACAAAACATATGAGCGCATGAGAAAGTCGGGAGAGAAGAGAGAGAAACAAAGTACAAGAGACTCTCAACAATAGAGAACAAACTGATGGTTATTGGACAAGGATGACTGGGGATGGGCTAGATGGGTGATGGGTGTATTAAGGAGGGCACTTGTAAGGAGCACTGGGTGTTGTAAGTAAGGGATGAATCACTGAATTCTACTCATGAAATCAATATTGCACTGGATGTTAACTAACTAGAATTGAAATAAAAATTTGAAAAAGGAAAAAAAGATGAAAGGCTTTCTAATGAAAAACTGTAAATTAGAGATTATTAAACCCTGGGACATTGTGATAGTTAATTTTGTGTCAACTTGGCTAGGCCATAGTACCTAGATATTTAGTCAAACATTATTCTAGGTGTTTCCTGAACTTATTTTTAAGTGAAATTAACATTTAAATTAGTGGACTTTGAACAAAGCAGGTTTTCCTCTGTAATGTGGGTGTGCCTTATCCAATCATTTGAAGTTCCTGCTAGAAAAAAGCTGACCTACCCATAGAGGAAGAGGGACTTTTGCCTCCAAACTGCATTCCCACCTGAACTGCAGTATCAACTCTTCCCTCAGTCTCCAGCCTGCCCCTCCTACTGTGCAAATCTCAGACAAGCCAACCTCCGCAATTGCTTGAGCCACTTCTCTCTCTCATCTCCTCTTGGTTCTGTTTCTGTGGCTGATTAAGACATTCACGGTTCCATTTTTTACAAACATCTTTTCTAGTCTTTATGGCTAGATTTTGGGGGTAATTTTGGGGGGTGGTGTGTATTGTCACTAACTGCATACGTATAATTGTGTATTCTTTTATTGCTTTAAAAAAACTTGATTAGGACATTTTCATCTTCCTTGTTAATACAAAGTTTTAATAAATGTCATTTAAGCAGCTCCAAACAAGCAAACACTCAGTAAGATTTCAGAGATACCACTTTTTTAAAGTTGGGGCACCTGGGTGGCTCGGTTGGGCAACCGACTTTGGCTCAGGTCATGATCTCGCAGTTCGTGAGTTCGAGCCCTGCGTCAGTCAGGCTCTGTGCTGACAGCTCAGAGCCTGGAACCTGCTTCAGATTCTGTGTCTCCGCTCTCTCTGCCCCTCCCTTGCTCACGCTCTGAGTCTCTCTGTCTCTCAATAATAAATAAACGTTAAAAAAAAAATTTAAGCTAATCTTGCCAAATTTATTGGTAGACTTCTAGGCAAATCCTAGTTTTGTTCTAAACCTTTTGGGTTTCATGATACCATGGACTATTTTTTATCATTAAATACCCTGTAGACCTGTGCTATCCAGTTCGTTGGGCACTAGCCACACGTGGCTATTGAGCACTAGATATGAGGCTTATTGCACTGGGATCGAGCTGTGCTGTCATTATAAAAATACATACTGGATTTCAAAAACTTCGTACTTAAAAAAAACATAAAATATCCCATCAACAATTTTTCCCATCAGTAATTTTATATTGATTACATGTTGAAAGACAACATTGTGGAGACATTGGGTTAAATAAAATACATTACTAAAACTAATTTTGTTTCTTTTTACTTTTTTTACCATGGCTACTAGAAAAGTTTTAATATAAATTGGTGGCTCAAATTGTATTTCTATTAGACAGTGCTGTCCTGGACTTGATTTAAATGTTTGTTTTGTTTTGTTTTTTCAGTTCTTTTCATGCCTCACAAACATGATTCATTATGCCTTGCTCCTTTCCTGCTGTGGGTATTTAATGGTACACATTTGTAGCCATTACGTATCTTGTGGTTTCTGCCCACAAGGGAGAGTCCCTCTACTCCTAATTTCCCTTCATTGACCTCCTGTGTGAATAGACACATATGAAACTAGCCCCAGCTTGCAGTTTTTCCCATGGATTGCCTTACTGTCCCTGCTGTCACAGATGCAATCTTGAGTAAGCAGGATGTGTTGATCTGCTCCAGTAGATTTCTTTGCCAACTCCTTATGGACTCCGAACCATTTCCTCTTTCCAGTGTGCCTTTATGCAGAACAAAATTCCTCAGTTCTTACATTATTTGAAAATATCATTGTCCAGACTCTGATGTGATTCCCAGTTGCCTCTAGGATCATGGT